TATGCCATTTGCTATTTATTCCGTAGTCCTATTCACCAAAGTTTTGCGGAAATTTTTTTATAATTTTAAGAAGAGGTTAAAATAATTTTGTGTTCTTAAGCGAAACAAAGCCAATGCAAATAATTTGTCATCATGTAATTGGGCAAACTCATTAACAATAACCGCTTTGTTTTGTTCTGCAATGAAATCAATTTTTATTAGACGGTTTTACTTAGCCTAGAGCTATATTTTATAAGTTTCAATGAAAAAAAAAACAAGTTGACCAACTGTTTCCGCCCGGGTTCGAACCGGGGACCTTGTGCGTGTGAAGCACACGTGATAACCACTACACTACGAAAACCTGCGTAAATATACTGTTGTGACAGCGAATTTGAAGAAACTATACGATGTCTTTTTATTATCCTTCATCCTATTGTGCCTTGAAACAATTGTGATATCCATACATTATATATGGGTTTCTCTATACAGAATAATTTGCAAATGTTTTGTTACAATGATAGAGTAGATTTAGAACACTGGAATTGTATCATATTATAATTCTGAATCATTTACTGAACTCTTCTAAGTCTCGCTCTGCATCCGTTCGTGTGGCACTCTGTTATCTGCCTATGTAATGCCGAAATATTTGAGATATTATGATGAAATTTTTATGACACACTTGTTTTGGCAAAAGTACGAACGTTATTGGATACTTGTGATGAGGCCAATATCCATATAAAGATCCATTTTGAGAAGAACTTTACATTGCTTACTTTTGAGATATCGCAACAAAATTCGCTGGAAAATAATGCCTTTTGCTGCATATTGATCTATTTTTCCAATTCTTTCGTTATAAACTTTTCCTGAAAGGTAAGTCACATTACCGCTGGTCAAAAAAATTTAATTTTTATTGATTTATTGCGTAAGATTAGGCAGGGTATTCAAAAGTAGGTTTTGTCAATCTTTTCCCGTTTAACTTGTTTTCATTACATTAAGTTGATGGTCATGGTCAATAAGTCATGTAGTTTTAAAAGCAACATAACAAATGCAACTACACTATGCTATACACGTAAATATGTACGAATAAATGTATGTAAATACAAAATAGTCAAGTAAGCCTGGTCACATGATTCTCTACTCAGCTTTACTTGATAAAATTTTCCATTTGCTCTCTTAATAGAAAAGCAAAAAAATTATACATACATACACATATGTATAAAAGGGGGATTTTAAAGGGTGGACTGACGTAGTCCAAATTTAGCAAAATCAATTATTTCGAATAATTAAACACATATATGAAATATAAATGGTTGTACAAGAAAACCTAAATGCATAAAAGAAACTTCAATACTTTATAGACCCTAGACGGTGTCTTTACACAATAATTAAACCAATCTGTGGATGGGGGATTTGAAAATATAAAACTTTAAACATTGTTCTAAAGCTTGCAACTAACAAAGGCCGATATAAAGTGTACGAAGTTTAAGAAGGGAACGACAAATCCAGGCATAATTGATTTCAACTGTGAAAAGCAAAAAAGTTGCAATGACGTTGAATTTCCCTAAATTATATATATGTTTGAATAATGAATTGAAATGATTATTTTAAGTTTAAAGTTCAACGATACGAAGAGAAAAAAAACCTACAAATAAAGGGAAACTAAAAGTCGACAATGTAACGATCGGCACATATTTAGAAAACATTGAGTGGTTAATAATATCGAAGCCTTTAACTCCACTTAGAAGCTTAAGTCGACTTATATGACATATGTCGTCAAACTTTTTATTTTTTTATGCATATGATAGCACTTTGTTCACATTCGTTGGGATCTGAAGATCCAAGGGTTGATGTCGCGTAAACTTGCATATATGTTACTCGACAGTAATATTGCTATCGAAAGTTTTTTCATTCGATAGTATGAAGAGTCCATACTTTTTCGCCCTCTGTAAACCGTCTAATTGTTATAGCGAGTCCATAAACCACAGCTGTTGAGTTACGCGTTTTACACCACACATCACGATATTAAGTTTTTGCGAAAGGTTGTAACACCCAGAAGATTTTGGGATAGACTCACCTTTCATTACACCGATCAACTGTCTAATCTAATGCCTGTTCATGTGGGCTTGTAATATTTAGATGAAATTTGGCGTATTGACGTGTGTGTATTTTTTGATTCAAGGACGAAGGCTACAGAAAATTGTACGGATCGGACCACTTTTTCGACCACTCCCCATATAACACCTTATTTTCGTAAATTGCTAATTTTCGATATATAAATCGTTTAGTAATAGCATTGGTGTGAAAACTTTGTATTGGATGGGGCAAGTCCCTACGGAAACTGAATCCATATATGGTAAGAAGGCTTCATTTGCAAAAGTTTTTGATGATAATTTCTTCTTCTTCTTCTTGACAACAATTTAACAAAATAGTAACCTTCTCGAATTTGGATCATACAGGTCTACTCCTTGGATCTCAACCCATATTACGGATTCTAATATAAAACAAGACTTTTTAGGTCAAATAATGAACATCTGTCCTTAAGAAATCAAGCAAAGAGAATTTTAATCACAAAGATATAGTTTTCAAACCGTATTTTGAATAATGAAAGGTTTTTTACTTGTTAAATGTTCTAAAGTTAATTTGTTAGGAAACTGATTAATAATAGAGAGCAAATTTTTTAATGCATTCCGATTATCTTAATGTGTGAAATATTTTTTAATACACGTAAACCCGTTTCTACGCAAGACACTGCTCACTTACCACGACGAATGATAAAATTAATATATCTGCTTCATATTGTATGCCAGCAAATACAATTAGTAATCAATTTTAATTAAAATGTAATCACATTTAGTTATGTTAATAAGAATGTAGAAAATGAAAAACTAAAAGTCATTCGTATAGTTTCACTATTGTGTTAAATAAAATGTTTCTTAAAAAGTAATATTTTGCTAGATCGACTTTGAGAGAACTTAATAAGTAATTGCTCGTCTCTCTCTCTTTTCATAGCTTTTGTTGAAGGATAGGAGAAAATTAAATTTGTTTTTTCCTTTTGTAACATCCTTGGACACCATATAGATTGATATTTGGTTTGAATGTGAGTGATAAAGTCCGTTTAGAAGTGCAAAAATGATTGTCCACTTATCACAACCAAGCCCGTAGTAGTCAAAAACCGATAATTTTTAATATTTAAAAGATTTTAAGACGATTGAGCTACGCCTGTCTGTCCATTCGTTCACCAAAACGTCAAGCAATTAAGAAGCGCGACAAGTAAGCTGGCAGCCTCGGGTTCAATTCTCAGGACGGTAGATCGTAAATTAACTACGGTTGATAGGCGTTTGTAGCTAGAGTGACTGCTCGATGGGTAAAGGCATAGCGACAAAGAGGAAAAGGGAGATAGACTATGTACCCGATCGGTAAGTGGAATGTCCTTACCGAGAGGAAAGGGAGATAAACTATGCTGACTCGCTATGACCGCTCGATAAAGGCACAGCACTTACGGTAAAGGCACACCGCTTGCTGATCGGTTACATAGTCTCTCTACCTTTTCCTCTCTAGCCCCCTTTTTTTGGCCAACTCCGCGTGACATGCATAGGGAGAATTGCCAGATTGAAAAGGAAAATATGGTATTACTAGTCAGTCAGAAGGTTATTAAAGGACAAAAATTGTTATAATCTTATCAAAATTACTTTCACAGTGTTCGCAAAAAAAAATGGTAGCTTAAAATTTACAGTAGCTTGTGGGACAATTCAATTCTAACAGCCGTTGTCAACCTGCCGCTCAGAGTCGCAAAACATCAACATAATATAGGTAAGAAAATTACATTCGGTCGTAACCGAATCTTTTATACCCATCGCAGTTATCGTAAAAATTATCAAAAAAAAGGAGAGAACTACGTGTTTTCATTTTTTTTTTACTCTATGCTATTGGATGGGCGAGAGTGACTTTTTACATTTTCAGACTAGTGGTGAAAGCTTACATGATATTCATAGGTTTTGTTGCAGAGGCCTGTGGACATTGCAAGCATATCGTTTGAAAAGTTTGCAGGCATCACATTGTTGAGCAGATGGACAGATGGGCAGACTGACATGCATAGTTGCATTTCAGATTTGAAACTGGCCAAGAATTTATGTACTTACAGATGTTTTTGTAACGTAACTCTACACGTTATAAAGCTACTCAAAAAAAAAAAAAAAAAATATTATGTTATGATAGGCGTGGTCAATTTTTACAGGTGCTACACTATCAACCACAGAGTATACGTTCAAATTTTCGTAGGTTTTGTCTGCTACAATTTATGAGTAATGAGAAAAAAAACATTGTTTACTTACTTTTGATAAATAAGAGTCTTCTCAGTTTACGCGGTACTGTCGACGTTTGCTTCGACCTATTTGGACCACTTTCAAAAGCAACCTACGTACAAGATTCCATTGTCTGCACTAAATAAAAAGTCGTAGCTAAACTTTTGCTGCCGATTATTTAAAAGACGGAAGGTCGAAAGGACGGACAGATCAGGCTAAATCGATTTAGAATTTTATGCTGGACAAGAACATATGTACTTTGTGAAGTTTCTGAAGCTTATTGCTAAGTGATGTAAACGCTTTCATAAAATGAATGTACTCTAGACCCTTCGGTGATGGGTACAAAAAGAAGTGTTTTCAGTTGATAGAAGACAAATATCGACCAACTTGCAGCCGGTATTGATCTAAAAGGATTTAACGAAAAAAAAAAGAAAAAGAAGAAAGGAAACGAGCCCCATCAAGCCAGCTAATAGAATAATGTTTTTATATATTTTGGATTCTGCTGGGTAGGGCTGACACATCAGAGGAAACGTATATGACTTTCTTATTAGAACGCTTCGCATGCTTTTAACCTCTGAAAATTAATTGAAAAAATATACATATATTTTATAGAGAAGCGCTACATTTCTCTGCCCATTGTCTAGAGCGAGACTTAATAAATGCAATAAAAGATAAGAATAATTTTTGCTATTGTTTAGTTTTTTCATTATTCTCAACGGGAGTAGTTCGCGTTTGCAAATTTTATTACATTTATTGAATTTGTGTGTGTGTGTATGTGTTGCTTTTCTTTGTTTCAAAAATGAGCAGAAATTTAGATGCAATTATATTCGGTGCTAGTAGTTATACGGGTCAATTTGTTATCGAAGAAGCTTTGGAAATTTTAAAAGATTTCCGATGGGGTATCGCTGGAAGAAATGAGGTTACGTTTTCTCTTTTGTTGTTTTTTCTTTTTTTTTTTTTTACATTTCTCTGAATAAGTTAATAAATTTTGTTTTCTTGAAATAACGTTACAGAAGAAACTTAAAAGAATGTTGAGCGATATTGAAGCTAAAGTTAAAAAAGATCTTAGTCATGTACCTATAATAATAGCTGATGTTAACGATACAAGTTCACTTGAAATTATGGCCAAGCAATGTCGCGTATGAATGATAGAGCGTACATATATAATAGAGAGAGAAAAAATTTTTTAAATAAAATTTCATTTAGATTGTATTGAATTGTTGCGGTCCTTATAATATATTGGGCGAACCAGTTGTTAAAGCTTGTATTGATGCCGGTACACATCATGTGGATATTACTGGCGAGCCACAATTCATTGGGAATATGTTACTTAAGTATAATGATTTAGCTAAAGAGAAAGGAGTTTACATCGTATATGCTTGCGGGCTTGAGAGTGTTCCGGCTGAGTTAGGTGTGCTGTTTGCGGAAGAGCATTTTGGAGGTCTCTTTTCCCTACAATAATGATATTTGTTTGTTTTTTCTTTTTTGTTATACCCATCACCAACGGATAAGGGGTTCAAACATTTTGTCGAAACGTTTGCAACGTCCAAATTCTGAATCGATAAAGCCATGTCTGTCCGTCTGTCCGTCTTCTATATGACTGCTGACTGGCAGCAAAAAAGAAGCTATCGACTTCAAATTTGATAGAAAGTTTGGAAGTTCAAAAGAAATAAAAGATTGGCTTTTTGTTCATTACTCACAAGCGACATCAGATAAATGTACGAAAATTGGGAAAAATGTCCTCGCAATATTATTTTCTTTTCGTTTTTTTTTAAACACCTTTATAACCCGCTAAAGCAAGCTTAAAAAAGCTTATAAAGTATATGGATTCCTGGTCAGATTCAAAGTCGGAATGCGCTTAAACATGTCCGTCTGTCCGTCTGCCAAACTATGGAGTATCTGCAGTAAACAAAAATGAAGATGTCGGCTAAAAATTTGCAAAAGACTTTGAAAATGCCCAAAACCGATTAACGGGCACGCGTATACAACAAAAACTGTGAAAACCTTTGCTTTCCGTGTTTTTTTGCTTTTTACTCAGTAAAAGTACAGCACATAACCGCAAATAGAAAAAAATCAGCCCCACCCATTTAACATATTGAATCTTTTTCAGGATAATGGTGATGGGTACAAGGTATAGAAGATGCGATCACAACCGAATTTAATTTTCTTACTTATTTCATTTTATGCAGGTATTATAAATTCCATAGAACTGTATATGGATGTTAAGCAAACGCAATCGGATTCGAATGCGAGACAAATATTTCACACTGGAACTTGGAACAGTTTGATTTATTCGTTTAAGTATGCTTGCGAAATTTTAAAACTAGAGCGACAATTAAACAAAGAAAAATTGCCACCCACTAAACCCAAACTATGGTTGAAGTAAGTGCAACTGAAAAATTTTTTAAGCGAATTATTTTTATCTAAACGCTTGTATTTTTTAGACCTTTTCCACACCAAATTGAAACTTCGCATAGATATTATTGTTATTTCCCGGCCACTGATAAATTTGTGATTGAAAGATCGCAACGTTACTTTTATGATTCGCAAAAGAAGAGGCCAATACAATTTGAATCTTATATCGGCTTTAGGTTCGCTAAAGTGATTTTCGAAATTCTTCTTTACGAAACTTAATAATTTTTTGCAGATCTTTTTGGTTGGCCTTACTCTGGCCATTTTATGTTATTTTGCTTTTAATATTGAGTCAATTTACTTGGTCACGTAAAGCATTGTTAAGAAGCCCTCATTTATTCTCCTTCGGTCTTGTATCAGCGGAGAAGCCATTGCAAAGCGTTCAGAATAGTATAGAATTTGCAATGACCTTGAAAGCTAAGGGACGGTATCACGAAGTGCCGGATTTTGTAGAACCGAAAAAAGAACTTGTCGTCCGCGTCTCTGGGAAAAATCCAATTTACGGCGTGACTAGTAATGCTATGCTGATATGCGCGAAAACTATATTAAATGAAAACTCGAAAATGCCAGAGAAGTAAGTAAATGACATATTGAACAACATTGAAACATAAGTGTTTTCTTTCTCTTTCTTTCCCCTTTCCGTATCACTTGCAGGGGCGGAGTTTTGTCTCCTGCTTCTGCGTTTGCTAAAACGCAAATTATCGAAGAGATTACACGCACTAAGTATGGTTTAAAGTTTGATGTAATAAAAACATGAATTTTTACAAATAAAGTGAAAGAAATATAAGAAGAAGAAGAAGAAGAAGAAGAAAAATTCCCGAAATTTATTTAAGATTAACTTTATGCGAAAATCATAATTTAATGATTGCGTTGCGGTAAGTGCAGTGGCGCCAATATTTGCTTAAACATCAGCTTCCATTTATCATGTTAGGTAAACGATTAACGCCACCGTTGTGTTGATAAAACACCGGTTCCACTTGTCAATTATATATGTATATATATATATAGAGTTTAATACAAGACTGGTCTCTGCGCTCGAAACATTTGAAAATACTTTTATATATCATGATTTATTTCAATTGAGTGACTGGTGATTTCTAGTCTGTCGTGCAAAAATGATGATGATATGATTAAAGTTGATGTATGGAGTCGTTTCAAATGGGAAAAGATTAACGTGCAAATTATCAAAAGAAAAAAAGGCAAAAGTAAGAAAGTTATAATCAGCATAAGACGACTTATTGATACCCATCGCTTTGCCAAATATTTTCGCCAAATAGCATATCAGGATTTTATTTTAAGTTATATGACTATTTGTAGGCTAACCACGCCCATTTGTTTACTAGAGCATTTAAGAGTTAAACAATTTGAAAGTTTTATAATTAGGTGTAGGCTGACTACGCTCATGGACTCACTGACAGTTGAAACATATTAAAGTTTTAAAGTTAGGTGCAGGCTGACAATGTCCATTGGTTCAATGAAGTATTTAAGAGTTAAATATTTCTAAAATTTTAAAGTTAGGTATCAGGTCCCTGTGGGGGAGTAGTAGCGCTTTTTCAGCATTTAAGGATAGCTTTTCCTTTATTACGTTAACTTTCAAAATATGTCAGGTTCGGTACTCTAAGGCAACCTTGTTTATGTGAGAGTACTTACCGAAGCCCAATTGTAAGTTAAAATCATTTCAATATCATGATCGGATCCCTGCAGGTTTGTGCTGATCTCTTTAAGAAATCCTTATCAGAAATATGCACGCAAAGTATTAATTATTGCTTCAAAAAAAAAAAAAATAAAAATATGAACAGCAAATTAAAGTATGTTTACAGCTTGTTCACACCCACTCTTGAAGCTGCCATGTTGTCATCAATTATATATTATATACAGTCATTATTATATAAATACATGTACTCCACGATTTTAAAAGAGCAAGTAACTGCGCTTTGCCTATTGTAAGCATATTTACAGCTAGGCCAGATCAATTTTTGAAGCTGACGTGAGGTCATTAATTACATACATATTTCAAAGGAAAATTGTGGTTTATGCTTACTATAAGCAAATCTACAGCTAAGTCGCATGGAGGCGTGGAGAGTACTTGAAAGCAAAATCGTGGTTTTTACTTATTGTAAGCATATCTACAGCTGGCTCATACTCATTTTTTAAGGTGACGTATGATCATTAATTGCGTATATACATGTACTCCAAGATTTTAAACGAGCAAATTATAGGATTTTTGCTCATTGTAAGCATATTTTCGGCCGCGTTACATCCATTTTCGAAACTGATGTGTGGCCGCCATCTGTGCGTATAAACGTATATATTCTAATTTCTGGAAGTTTCAACAATAACTGGTAAGCAGACAGATTAAGTGTCGGATGAGAAGGCCAAAAATATATAAATTTTGTGTTTTTTTCAAAGCCTATAGATGCGACAAAGAGACGATCAATGCAATATTTATCCACCCCGTGCTATAAAGGGGAAAACAAATTTAGTATGCCTCCGTCTAAAGACTTTTCGATATCCATATGTGTGTGTTGTAAAGTCAGGAGCAGGTCTAATACAACGTTATCTTTGGATAGTATGCATGTGTATGAATATTGACTTTTATGTTCATGATGTGCGGATGTAACTTTTAAAAATTGAAAAAGATTTCAAGTGTTTCAAGTAATGCATTCAATTGCAATTATGGAACAATTTGAGTGTAAGTGCGTCCATGGACTTCTAATTACGATTTAAAAAAAGTTTAAGTCAAATTTCTAAATAAGAGGTTTTATAAGTTTCTGAACATAAGTTAAGAATAATTTGCAAACTATTAGATCTTCGTTGCTTTCTAAAGAGAGGGAAAAAGAAAGAGGGAGGGAGAGAGAGAAAGATAAGATTCAACTGCTTATTGATAAGAAACGTTGCTTGAGCTCAAGTTAGTTCTCTTGCACAAAGATTCAAAGTCGTTAGTGTGGGTGGACAGATAGACCGACACCTGCACTGGCATTGCTAAATTGCTTATTGCGTTAATTTGTACTATATGCATATTTCAATATCTTATAATTATTTGATAACCGGTACACCTTGTGCTTACAATGAAAACAAAATCATTTATTGCAATTACGAAAAATTCCATTCGTTTTCCTTAAGCATATATAAAACGTAGATTAAACTGAATTATTAAAGTTTTTTTATTATTCCTTACTCTCTTATTATCGTTGTTGTTATGTTATAATAGAGAAAATTATTTTTGGTTGTGGTCGCATCATTTATACCCAACACTATTATTTAAAAAAAAAAAGCGTTAAAAAAAGATAAACAGTGGGTGTGGTTTTCGCATTTTTGTACAATTACTGTAGGATCACCTAATGGATGAACGGGGACATTATTATTAAGCAAAGGGTAAACAATCCTATCTTTATATCCTACACCACTTGTTGTATAGTAAGTTTGTGTGCATGTATGTAGCCGGTTTTTCATTATATCGATCGATTTGGAATCACTTTTTTGGATCGATCTAAGCTTGTCTGTTCGTCAGCCCGGCTGGATTTTGTTTTCATTCCAACGTATAGGTCGAAATTTTGGAGATATTTTAATAAAATTTTGTACAGTCGCCTTTACTCACATAAAGATTTAGCTTGAAAAGTCGTTATATGCATAACTCTATTAAACGAAGGATAATTAATGTAGGTAGGTCGCTCTGCAGAGTTTTAACTTTTTTTTTTTTCTTTTTGAAAACCGAACTGCATTTTTTGAACGATTTCATATAATTCTAATCCCAATTTGCTTGTCATGGCTTCCTATGTTTTTGTCGAGTGTTAAAACATACCGCAAACATACCCACTGAAACACGGGCCAGAGATAATGTGGACAGGCGGAGAAACATGCTTAAATCATAAGAAAATATAAAATTGGCCAAGAATGTGTTAACTGCATACTAACTCTGAGACTTTTTTTTGAGTGTTTCATACGTTCTAATAAAATGAATGAATGAATCATCCTCTCTATGGCGGATATGAAAATGTAAAGTTATTCTCATAGGAGAGTATAACACTAATAAGGGAAGAGAATTGAAGAAAATTTAAGTATGAAATAGAGCGTAGCGCTTGATTATCGTTAACGTAATAGGACTAATGCTACTACATTAAGAGTCATATGAGTGTTTACTTTTTCATTATGTTATGTAAGGTAAAAAAAAGTTGTAAAAAGGTATAAAAGCTGTATAATAGGGTAATTTGTTAAAGGCATATATATGAAGTATCAAAAGTATTAAGACATTTAAAAAAGTAAAACAAACAAGTTAAGTACTTTAATAACTTTTCTTGAAGAGATCTTGATTTTGTCTTTCAACTGAAGTATCATTACTCGATCGTGACGAAGATGCGTAAAGGATAGAACCAAATAATATTTAATTTTCGTATTGAAACATCAAATTCACAATCATTTTTTTCTTACTTCAAAGAAAAAGCGATGACAGTTAAATCTTTGAAGCTTTCCATTCCTTAGACCCCAGTTCAATTACCTAAAAATATTCATCCTCCAATCATGTTGAACTAAAATTCTCATTAGCCATTGGAATTTAATTATTTCATACAATAGTAAAAGTACGCATTCGTTTATTCCAACGACGATTTTAACTTACTTTTATATCGCATGTGGACTCGTTTCTCCACAGAGCTGATAGCATCAGCTCTATTGTCTTTTACTATATTTTTTACTTTTCCTTTCTTGATTTTTGCGAGCGGAGAATGTTTGCTATGCAGCTTCAGACGGAGATTACGGGGTTTTAGAAATTCGTGCAAAATGAAAATAAGAAAGCCTTATCCTTCGACAATGACCTTTTTTAGCTCATTGCTCATAAAGTATCCAAGCGATCCTATCAATATTATTATCGAGTACCGAAATTTCATTTTCTACGATTTGGTTTTTAAGGCAAAGTCGATCGATATGTAGGAGATCCATCCGCAACCGAATAAAATTTTGGTACTTACTTCGCACTTCGGGTCACCTCAGTCCCGATACAAGACGAGAGTTCTATCACTCTGCATACTGTGCACCCTATATATTTAGGAGAGGGAAGATGGCATATTTCACTGACGGAGTTTTTGTTTGCCCCGTTGTCATACATAGGTCTTTAAGATTTCTTTACCTTGATGGTTTCGGAAATAGCTTCTCCTGTCTTTCATTTATGTATATTTTCCTTTCTATGCTTTTCTAGCTCTTTATTAAAAGCGTTAGCAGCTGCTAATGGCTGACTAGGGAAAGATCTTTTTTTGGGTTTGAGTAAATGGAAATTAACGCCGATGTACATTCCAATGTGGAACAGAAGCGTTAATCCCATTCTTATACAGACTTCATTAATATTTTCTCGAGTTGCATAGTATGGTAACGCACGGCAAAGCGAATTAGTGCAAAAAGTCCAAATGAGGTGATTAATGGGAAGTGAGACCTTACCGGCGTAAGCAAAACATTTTCTAATTTTCTACATGAGTAAAGGACATAGGCTGGGTTACAACGGACGGCATTCAAATTTCATGTTCCTTTAGAAGCCGCAGCAGAAAGTTCCATGAGGAGAAAAGTTAAGTACCTTTACTTTAAATGCAATGAAACGAGTATCTTGGAGCAGGATTTTAAGATGCGAGAAAAGGCTTCTTTGCCATAGTTTGACACGTAACACTAAAAATGTGCAAATATTCTAAACATGCCTTTCAAAATGGTATAAGTTGTTTCCTTGAATATATTATCCCAGGTTACCCTTAACATTCCTCAAGCGGCCTCGAGTCGATCGGAAAAGAAAGT